ATATGGGATTCATTTTTTTAATAAGCGTTATATTAATTTATTTGACAACACTACTACATGGGTGATAAGTTGTAGTATGCAGTCGTTTAATCCGAAGTAGGTCGCAAACTTTCTTAATTAAATATTTTAGAGATAAAATTACGCGGTTTAGCAGTTAACAATTGAGCTGGCGTTGAATGACTTAATATCATATTTGTAACAAACGCTTCCGCAATTATTTTTTTACTAACGTCCGGTAAAGGAACTGCTTCTGCCTATCGACTGAAGTGTTTACAAACTCCAAGATGTATAGGGGAGACCGGGGCAAGATCGGCATGTTAAGCTTTACTTACATTTTGTGTAATTTATTACACAAAATGTAAATACTGCTGTAAACTGGAAAAAAGCTTTGCATATTGTCTATTGGAATGTTACCTTACTATAGAACTGGTTAAAATCAGTTTGGAAATAAAAATAATTAAAATAATTATAACTTTACATAAAGAGAGAAATTGCCGAAGTTTCCTTCGGTATAGGGGCAACAGTAATGGAGGAAGATAGCCAGGTATATAAATTTATGTTATTAACAATGTATAAGTTGGAATTCACTATTAAAACAAAGAAATACAAATCCAACACCCATTTAATATTATTACAACGAAATGCAAGTTCAAAGACATATATACATGAATAACAAATGCAAACATGTTTTCATTTATCATCTGTTTGATTTTTATCCTTTGCTTCTAATGTGGCTTTATGTTGCCGATCTTACCCCGCTAGTCATGATTTCGAAACATTAAGTACAACCCTGAGAACAGAATGCCAAGCCACGATCTGGCCACGTGAATAAGTTGAAGTTACATCCTTCTAACAGGAAAAGTAACTTTCGTTATCATGGAATTATAACAAAACCTGCCAATTCAATATAAATGGAAAAAAAATATTATATGGAATTGAACGAAAATGAAAATTTGCTTGATAATTCAACTACGCTTGTTGGAGAACAATAAAAACACTACACTCAACAAGCCACCAATAAAACTCAACTGCCTAACCTATAACCAGAGTCTCCTTTTAATTTGTTTTTAAAAAAAGTGCTTGACAAACTTGCCCCGTATGCCGAAGTTGCCCCGGTCTCCCCTATGTTTGCATTTGTTGTAAGAAGTAAACATCCGATAATGTTCATCGCTGAACTGTCCAACAGGTGTGTAAGAGTAGCAAATAGTTGTCGTTTTCCCTGTGTTTTTTGGTTTCGTCGTCGATGTTCAGCACGACTTTGAGAGCTTTGACAATAACTTTTTATTTCTTTCTTCATTTCTTCAATAAAACAGTTTTTTCTACGTTGGTTCGCATTATCATTTCTCCCAGATGTTTTGCGATAGGATTATAACGGAAAGTGTATAAAATATACACTGCTGGCCATTAAAATTGCAACACCAAGAAGGAAAGCAAATGAAAAAAAAAATAACTATTGTATGTAAACAGTATGGCATGAAGACAAAATGATTAACTTTGAAAGCAGTTTGGGGATTTACAGGGGTGCAAAATTAGTAGACACAGTTGCCACTCCTGGCAACTAAAATGGCCCTTATCCTGTTAGGCATGGAGTCGAACTGGGCTTGGATGACAGAAACAGGCAACTCATTCCGTGCTGCTTCATGTCTATGTTACAGGAATCAGCGTTAAGCGAGGCATCGTTAAGGGGATCTTACTGTATATCTGTCACAAAGTCGTAAGATATTTCGATAAAAACTTGTCACGGGTAAGCGTTTTTTACGTCGTTTATTACTTACAACGTGCGCTGTTAAACGCCGTTGATTTTTTTTTCAAAACGACCTATTTTTTGCGAGTTATCGCTTTTTTTGGTTGAAGCCACGTGGTCAACTTTGTTTGATCGTAACTAGGGATCCAAGTGGTCTCCGTTTTCGCCGGTTGTCTTGTTTAACTCGGAACATTTTTCTGGTTACTTTACTATATTATTTATTAATTTTCGTTCACGGGTCCTCTTGGTAGGGCGACGGTTGTGTCCTTTATTACGGGACCATCTACAGGCTTAACGGGCCTTTTTTTTTATTACTTTTTTTTAGGGGCGCAGTCACTGTGGTAGCGCCTCACGTCCCGTTTTTTATGGTTCGTTACTTTTTATTCGAGTTATTTTATTAACGCCGCCAACGACACGACACGCAAAGGCCTTTTTGTTTCACACAAAGGCCTTTGTTCTTCCACCTCGTTTTGTGCTAGCCGAACGGCGTGTTTATAGCCGACCGGCGGTTAGTTTTTTCGGTTGTGCCGTTGCATTTTTCGGCGGAAGCTACAACCGCTCGGCATTTGCTGTAGCTGATCAGCGTATCGTATTTTCTCGGCACGGAGTTAAATTTTTCGGCGTTCCTCGTAACCGTTTGGGGGTTCGAGTCAGCCTCTCGGCGTATTGTTTAACCAATAAGCGTTCTTCACTTTTCTTCTTATTTTTCACTCTTATAATGTCGGGGCACGAGGCTCCTGGTATTTTAAGCCACATGACGCTGCATTTGCTGTTCTTGATGAACTTAAAGACTATATCGCCGATAATGAATGTGCCAAAATAGGAACCAAAAAGCATGCCGATTTCATCACTAGATGTGTGGAACGTGTCATCAACATTTTTATGGGACATTCGGTTGACAACTCCATCCGTGAGATATCTAACAAAATCGATAAACTGATTAATAAAGACAATGAGGTTATTATTAACTCTCAAAAAGAAGTGTTAGGCAAACTCAATGAGATTGCCTCTATCACTGGATCACAACCTGCTAAATCATCTCTACCAACTTACAGCACTATTCTAAAATCCGGCTTTGTGGCTCACTCGAAACAAGTGGCCAAGACTCCTCACTGTCAAAAGAATGTGCTGCTGGTATACGGCAGCGATGACAACTCAAACAGTGAAAACCTTCGCAACCTAATACAAAAGAAAATAAAGCCTTCTCAGCTACAAATTGGTGTGGAGAAAATCCGCAAAATCAGACAGGGAGGTCTCGCAGTGGAACTAACTTGCAAGGAGGACACCACCATTCTTGAGAAGTGTATAGCGGACAACCTACCTGAGCTTCTGACAAAAATACCCAAGAAACGAAACAATCATATCGCTGTATACTCTGTGCCAACAGAACTAAAACGCAGTGACCTTTCAAAATATATTTATGACCAAAATTCTATCATCAATGAAAGCTACTCAGAAAAAGAATTCAATGACCAGTTTAAAGTAAAATTCAATATCGGACACAAGGAGACACCATTTCACAGCTGGGTTGTGGAGGTATCTCCACAGGTGAGAAAGCATCTACTTATAACCAGGAAAGTTAACCTTGACTGGTCGCGGTGCAGGGTGGCCGATTTCTGCCCAGTCTTGCAATGCTTCCGGTGTTGCAGGTATGGGCACTCCGCAAAATTTTGTGAGCAGGAGACTGCCACATGTAGCCAGTGCGCTGGCANTGAGCACAACATCAACGAAATCGAAAACGCCTGTGACAAATTTATTCCAAAAACTACCCCAAGACGCGAATCTGTGCCTTGGTGGAACACACGACTCACCGACCTGCGTAGGACCAACAACACCCTCAGAAGAAGATATCAAACCTGCAGAACCGAACCAACTCGTACCAACCTCAAGCAACAATACCACAATCACCAGACCCTGTACAAGAAGGAAATCAAAGAGGCAAAGATCAACTCCTGGCGGCAGTTTTGCACTGCTGCATCTACCAATCCCTGGGGTTACCTCACCAGGATGTGCACCGACAAGCTACGGAGGACACANACCAACCTCAAGCAACAATACCACAATCACCAGACCCTGTACAAGAAGGAAATCAAAGAGGCAAAGATCAACTCCTGGCGGCAGTTTTGCACTGCTGCATCTACCAATCCCTGGGGTTACCTCACCAGGATGTGCACCGACAAGCTACGGAGGACACAGATACTCGTCAACGAAGACACTAAACCCCCCCAACGACTGCATTATGAACACCTTGCATCAACACATGGACAACTTCTGTATTAGTGACAGCACTGACAATGACACACCTTGGCAGAGCTCTATTCGTGATACTGTGAACATCCCTATTAATACAGACAACTCCCCTGAATTCAACTACCACGAAATAGACAACGCTTTCAAAAAGCTAAAAGAGGGCAAAGCTCCTGGCATTGATGGCATTAACGCTAAGCTAGCAAAGAAAATCTGGAACCTCATTCCCCAGCAACTAACAGACATGTTTAACATTTGCCTGTACTCAGGTATCTTTCCCCGCAAGTGGAAAACTGCTAAAATCGTGCCCGTGCCAAAACCTGGCAGGCCAAAAGACCTCCGGCCAATCTCCTTACTACCTATACTTGGCAAAGTTTTAGAGTGTCTCCTCACTGACCGTCTAACTTGGCATATTGAACACAATTCCTTACTTAACAGTACTCAGTTCGGCTTCAGGCCTCAACTCTCCACCAACGATGCCATTAACCATGCTGTCCATTCCATCAAGAACTTGCTGGACAATTATAAGTACGTTCTGGCCATCAGCCATGATATATCAAAGGCGTTTGATAGTGCCTGGTGGCCGTTCGTCCTTTGCCAGCTCAGGAATGCTGCTTGCCCTGCCTGCCAACATCTACAACCTCCTTAAGGATTACCTGCATGACCGCAAAGCTGTTTACAGTATGGGACCCATTTTGTCGAACGAGAAGTAGAGCGTGGCTGCCCGCAGGGGTCGGTCTGTGAGCTGCTTCTGTGGAACTTAACCTTTAACGCTTTCCTACAAGAAGACTTCAGTCAGGACGCTACAACTGCCTACACTGACGACGTCCTTATCTTGATTGGAGGAAAATCCCGTGCAGTCTTGGAACAGCGTAGCAGTGAGATCCTTGACAGGATCTACCATTGGGGTACTCGCGACAAACTTCTATTCAATCCAGACAAAACCACCAGTATTGTCTTTAACAAACCAGGTAAACCTAACCTGTACCTCTGCACCCCAACTGTGAGAATGAATAACCAATCTATTAAGGTCGAAAAATGTATTAAATACCTTGGCGTCTGGCTGGACTTTCGTCTCAGCTGGGACATTCATATCAAATACATCGCCAAACGCACTAGCCTAATTTTTCACGCCTTCTCACAGATTGCGCGGAAAGGCTGGGGCCTTAATTCTGAGGGGCTCAGTGTCATATACGACCATATCTACGTCCCCATCATCACCTATGGCTGTCTTTGCTGGGGAGACGCCGCTCAGAAGGTACATCTACATAGAAAGTTGATCTCCTCCCAACGAAAAGCACTCCTTTTAATAACAAGAGCATATCGTACTGCTCCAAATAGCAGTTTGCAAGTGATCTCTCGCAAACCCTTCATCACTGAAATCATCAGGATGGAACGAAGTATCTGGAGCCTCAAGAATGGGAATGATATCTCCACTCCATCTTGCAACATCCAGGCCTGTAATTATGAATATCTGAGTCCTTACACTCAGGCCATACCTCCCCATATCAACAACCTTATTGGTAACAGCCCGCCCCTCAATCCTGATCTTGTCATCTACACAGATGGCTCTGGCCACAACAACTCAATAGGCTGTGCTTTTGTTGCCTACTGCAACAATATGGAAATTTACTCACAACAGAACAGACTTCATAACACCTGTACTGCCTTCCAATCTGAAATTCTAGCCATAAATATGGCCATTAACTGGATTGAGCAAAGGTACACGGAAAACAGCATTCACATCATTACCGACTCCTCCTCTGCCATCGAACTAATCTGTGGCACCAAACTCCATCCAATAGCCACATCCATCCGGCACTTAATCCTTCACTCCAGCAACTCATACCATATTACTTGGACCCGGGGGCACCAGAACACCGAGGGAAATAAGCGGGCTGATCAGCTGGCGAAGGCCGCGGCTGTTGATGACTCCCTTACCATCATCTACAACAAAATCAGTCACGACAGAGTGAGAAAAATTATGTACAAGGATGTCTTAAGTCGCTGGCAATCATCTTGGTCTCAACGACACAACGAACCNTGAAGCACCATTGTATTTAATATTATATAGTTGTAATCTATTACAAAGCTTATAATATTTTATTTTTGCACAAAATTATTTAATAATTAATTTTTTTTATTCAATGACAATAGGTTAATGAAGAATATCAACGAAAACTACTATAAAATGCATATAAAAATTCTGTATTTTTTGATATTGCTGCTGTTTCTCTTTGTCTTCGTACAACCGTTTATAATTATCTGTTTACTTCAAAATTCAAATATTCGAATGGCTTCACACGTTACCGAAGAGGGCAATATGAGGTCGGGGAAAACTAATGAGGAGGATGCCATCATCAATGTCAACGCTATTGGTTACCAAGTGAAAAAAAGAGAAATCACGTCCGAAACCGAAAAAGTGTGCCAAGCGGATTGTTCTCTGACACCAAATCCATCTGAAATAAACGACGATACAATAAATATAAAGGAAGATTGGAATGTAAAGGTGAGCGTTTAGTTAAACCCGTATAATCTAAAATAATTAGAAACAAATTACTTCAAATAATTAATAAGCGTAACAATGTGTTATTTTTACTTGTTTAAATTGTCTTTCGTTTGTTGTTTATGTAGAAAACTGATCTCTTAGAATACTGTTTCACTGCCGATGACTTTTGTCAAAGAAACAGAGAAAAATCAAAAGGTATTTCTTTTATTATATACATGACTTAGATATAAAATTTTCTGTGGAATCGAGAACAATGATATTTATATTTTAACATTTATTTAAACAGACGAACAGAAAGACAATTTTGGAGGAGAAAACCAACAAGAAAATGAGAGTAAGAGAATTTTCTGACTCTTTTTATATTATATTGAGAATTAATATCGCCGTTGTACAATTTCATAATTGCTTCTTTGAGCAAATTCTGATTTATTGTACTTTTGATAAGACATGCGTTGTTTTTGCTGTGACAATAATTTCTTGGGTTGAAAATAATAGAGTTTGTGTTAAGATTTTCATTGCGCGCGGTAGAAATAGTTGTTCATCTAGTGTAAAATTTACGTCTTCATTAGCGTAAAGATGTTCGTCCAGTTCCTTTTCGAACGTTTTTATTCTATTTGGTATAATTCATAGTGTTTATACAGATAATTTCCTTCTAAAATTGATTCATTTTGTTTCGAACGTGGCAAGCAAATCATATAGAAATTTTCCTGTAATTGTTTGCTTTTAATTATTTTTCGAAATTCTCTTTTCAAAAGTAATAAAAAATATTTTCTAGTGAAAAAATCCTTTAATTCATGAAAAACGTTTTTCCAATTTTACAATAAAATAGAAACAATACTCACTACACTAAAACATAAATGTGATAGAAAGGTAAATTGTAAAGTTTTAAGTTCAAGAATACATGTGCAAGAGTGCACAAATAAGTTTTTTATTATAATTAAAATCGTAAAAACTTTTGTACTATCAATATACAATTTCTATTTAATTAAATGTGTTATGTCTTTTCATATCGATTATTTACATTTTGTTTTTTTTCTAAAAAAATTACATTTACTATGTTGAAAACATGAAATTTTCTCGTAATCTGAACATTTCTGTCAACTTCGTGTGAGAAATACTTCCTTAAAACTCTTATTTACGCTAGTGATAAACAAATGAACCGACAAAAAGAATGGCGAGGCTTTGGCTTCCAACGAAAAGTTAAGAAAATTAGGAAAAACGTTTGATAATTTTTAATTATCCCGACTTGAACTTTCATTTTATATTACAATTTTAAGACATTTGACTTTCTTACGAAACACAGACTTTTAATTATCTTGTAACATTTAAATAGTTCAATTTTAACTCAAAGTGAATTGTGACGTATTACATGTTGATAAAAACATTTTTATTTTAATAATTTCGAATTAATGTGCAATTTATTTTTAAGTAAAATATTTAATTGACGTTTTTCTTTTCAGATTGCATTCTCCAAGAAATTACAGGTGATGAGACTTTTCAGTATCAAGAACTCAGTTTTGATTTAAACGGAATATTTTTGTTAAAATTGATAAATATCGAAGAGGGTCCAAAAGACAATTACAAGATTATTTTACTAGAAAAGGCTACTTATTTATTGAAAGAATTTCGACTTAATGAAAAACGAGAAGTTAAAGTACTGAAAGAGTTTAAATTACCCGATCAAATGTATTCTCGGGGAATTATTGAACACAATGGAAATATTTATGGTCGACACGACAATTTCTCAGAAGAAAGAGTTGTCAAGTATAACGTTGAAACTGGAAATTTGACTTTTGGGAGTGATGTCGATTTTGTCGAGTATGCGGTCGGCGTACATTTACTTCTGAGTGACAACTTTTTCTGGGCGATTGACAATACATATATGACAACACGTTCGGAAGGTCTTCAAAACAGTGTTTTGGTGGGGTATAAAATGGATTTGGGTAATTTAAAAGTTTTGTCAAAGCTGAATTTTACTCTGAATAATTGTTTACTTTCTTATATGTTCGTCGCTTATGATAAGTTGTATTGCGTCCATTATCGCTCACCTAAGTTTTATATTTCGTCGGCTTCGAACGACGAAGAGTTTCTGTACATTGATTTACAGGAACACCCAGACTCTTACGATATCGAAAGAGTCTTGTATAATGTTAAGGAACAAAATCTTTACATACAGTTTATAAATTACAGACAAAACTATAAAATTCTCGTACAAAAGTTACACTTCAATTGTTCAAACGAAGATTGACGAATTGCGTCAAAACCTGAATTATTTTTACATTTTCATAGAAAATCGCTCGTACCGATGAATAGTTTTAATGTTAATTTCTTTGTATGTAATACTAATAAAAAAAATCACATCTCTGGCCATACATACAAATACTGCGACTAACAAAAAATATGAGTTGAACGCTCGAAAGACGAAACAACAGCACATTTTGCTCAAAAACTTTTACAAGTCGGTGAAGGCACATAACCCAGTGACTAGACGAATCAGCCTCATTAAACTGAACAGTGATTTTTGCAACATAGCCACTACTGAAAACGAACTCATCCACCAAATTTATCCAAACATTGTTCACAACTATACCAATCCGGAGTGGCTATTTCGAAGGCAATTTTGGCAACTAAAAATGATATTGTCGACGATATCAACTTTAATATTCAAAAAAAAATTTCGGTGACGAGAGAATATACAAATCGATCGACAGAAAGTGTCAACTTTCCTACAGAANCAACTTGTAAAGAAACATGAGGTAATTGCCCCTCTTGCCACTAGCAACTAAACCATCTGTATATACTGTTTCGTATTGTAATATATTTTACTGCCTCCAGCTACAACCCACTTTTCATTGTACTCCCCACACCTTACCACTTGTTACAATACTGTAATTAAATGCCCTATACTTTACTGTATCTTTTTGCTATTTGTATATACTGTAGTTCCCACTCGGCTATGCTTAGCGGTACCGAGTATGTATTGTACCAATACGTTAATAAATAATAATGTAATGTAAAAAAAATGTAATGTCTATGTTACACTTCATCAACTGTATTATCTGGAGAGGGGTGGTGGGCTAGTCTCTCAGCAACCCATGACTAGATGTTTTCAATTAGTGAGAGATCTGGAGACCGTGCAGGCCAGGGCAGCAATCGAATACCTCTGTATTCAGGAAGGTCAGAATACGACGTGCAATATGAGGGCTTGCATTATCTTGTTGGAAGATGGCATTTCGCAGGCCTGGAAGATAGGGCACAACCACTAAACATAAGGTGTCAGAAATGTACCGATCTGCGTTCAAATTACTGTCGATCCTAACTAGAGATGTGTGTGCCATATACCCAATGGCACACACATCTCTAGTACCCATGTACCCTGACCATCGAAGTGCCAATTTTAGTTTTGTTACCTGCGAGACGACTACTTCTTTTACAAAAACTCTGTTTTCTACTTAACTATGTGGCGGTTTGTTTTGTTATCGGTGTCTTTTCTGCCTTGTTCCTGCGGCGTGTTCGGCATACTGTTGTGCTGTATAATGAGTGTTGATCATCCGCTGTCGTAATTCTTTTTCTTCGTAGGCGATTGTCGAAGGGATGGTTACTAATTTAAATGGATATGTTAAGTCTCTTCCATACAACAGATAAAATGGACTCTCGTTAGCGGAGGCATGCGGTGCGATATTACAAGAGAATAAAACATATAGGATTCTTTCGTTTTAATAAGCGTTTTATTAATTTGTTTGACAACACCACTACATGCTGGGTGATAAGCGATAGTATGCAGTCTTTTATTCCGAAATAGGTCACAAACTTTCTTAATTAAATATTTTAGAAATAAAATTATGCGGTTTAGCAGTTAACAGTTGAGTTGGCGTTGAATGGCTTCATATGATACCGTATTTGTAACAAACGCTTGCGCAATTGTTTTGCTACTAATGTCCGGTAAAAAAACTGCTTCCGCCTATCGACTGAAGTGTTCTACAGACTCCAATATGAATCTGCTTGCATTTATGATGAGAAGTAAAAATCCGACAATGTTCATCGCTATTCGTTGGAACAGGTGCGTAATAGAAGCAAATAGTTATAAGTCTCCCTGTTTTTTTCAACCTCGTCGTCGATGTTTAGCACAACTTTGAGAGCTTTGACAACAAGTTTTTATTTCTCTCTTTATTTCTTTCTTTCATTTCTCTTGTAGGTATCCTATCGATTTAATCGTAATTATTTGGCTGATAAAAACGCGACTCAAAGCGTCAGCATTTTGATGAGCGTTTGCTGGTTTGTGCACGAGTTCCTGAAACAAAATAATCCATGTATACAGTTTAGAGCAGTGTTTAATTGATTAAACCCTGCTCTAGACTGAAACGTAGAAACAGAAAAATAAAATATTTAATTATTAAGCAATTTCCCATAAAAATGTTTTTTTCTTTTACTTTATTGACATTTTCGAGTACTGCCAAATCGATTAAATAAACGTAAAGTTGCCTTTTATATAATAATAAACTGAGTTTATTACTTTCATTTTAGTTATCGTTTGACATTAACTTTTATTTATTCATTTATATAGATTTTTAATATGCTTAATGTACAAGATTCGGCTTGTTAATAAATTTACGTATAAGTAAATTGCAATTTGATTTTTGTATAATTTTGAAAAGAACGTTTCGTTACATTTTTGCTGAAAAATAGAAATTCAATCATAGTTTAATTTTACCATTTACTTAATTTTAAATAAGTTTGTTTTCTGCCTGAGCGTGTGTTTGTCTGTCCTCTCTAAACGTCGAGAAAGGAATCGGGTAGATGTAAATTTAAAAGGATATGGAACGATTTAAAGCAGGAAGAACGGATTAAATATATAATGTCTACTGATACGGATCGGGAGTGACTTTATTTTAGTTCGAACATTTTTTACTGAAAGGAGGTAAAACGTGAGAAAAAATCATTAAATCCCGGCATTGTTCCTTTGTCAAAATAAACACTAACCAATTATAACACAATTTTTTTTTGTTGCCGAGATAATTCATTTACATCTAACGCTTTCAATACATTTTATAGGTCATCTTCAAGTTGAAAAAGATTGGAAAATATTTCTGTCGAATAAATGTTAGCTTGTTTATTATCAGTTCTGCAGATCATTTTATTTATAAGTGGTATGTTTATTTGTCACATTGAAAATTTTAATGCGTATAATAGAATTTATGAAAACTTTAGGAACATATAACTATGATATATTTCTAATGTTGTGTTATTTTCCACCTTACTTTACATTTCAAATACGCGAAGAAAATTTAGTAATTAAATAAATCTGTTTCTGAGATTTTAAACATTATTTTAATAACAAGTAACAACAAATTTAGAGTATCGACAAGCTGTAAATAAATAACTAACGTCACACGAAGATTTTATCAAAAGTATGAAACAAACGGAAACTCGTGTTTAGATCAATTAAAACTCCAAGTAAAAGCGTATAGTGTCAAAGCCCAAAGCGGACATCACTCGGTATGTATTCGTTTTATTTAAAAGAATTTATTCGAATTTCATCGAAATAAATAATCTTCGAGTTCGTGCACCTTTTTGTTAGTAAACAATCACGGTTTTAAATTTAAAATCAGTTTTAAATTAAATTTTATAAAAAAAAAAAAAAAACTCGCGCCTGTGTCGAATATTTCTATTTTTAATGTATAATTAAAGCAGAAATAGATTTTAATATCGATACGAAAATTAAGGTGTCGTTCGTTCGCATCGCAGCTTTATCGTTATAACGAAGAAGGCGAGTCAAGAGTTTCCTGATTATTCCTTTAATACTCTGATAATCTTTAATATTCACTTTAATTAGTTGAATAATTTATATAATCAAGTGCATTTAAATAATGTTTCGTTGAGAACACCTTGGGCGTATTTTAACCTATAGGCACGCGCGTGCTCCGTCAAATAGAAATTGCGCTCGCTCGGTCAATTAGGCACCAAATTAAAAAATTAATTAATAAAAATTTGGCGTCGAAAAACGGGTATTTTTACTTTAATCCAGTTTTCTGATATGTTTGTAGTCGAATTTCGTCAAAAAGCTCTAATTTCGTTATAATTTTGTTGATGATTTTAATTTTTTAATATTAGAAGGTAATTAACATAAATTACAAAGTGTCGTGTTTCATTTTCGCTCCCGTTCAAGTTTATAGTCCTAGATATGCGCCGATGTTTGCTTTTACTTCTACTGGTGTTCCCGCTTTTACTTCACCCTCGTTCGTTTTGGTTACAGACGATGGGGAGACGGGCGTCACGTGATCGCTTACCCCACTTTTTACCACAGGAATTATAGTACCTTGAAAGTTTTATTTTTTTTCTCCATTTTAGTTATTATTAGCTAACTTTTTTTGATAGTTTCTCATATATATGTGTTTTCTAAAGTTGCAGATATTTTTTCTATAATGTTTCATCAATTTATGTTTTTTTTTTCGCATTTTATATATAAAATATAAGAAAATTCAAAAATTAATTAAATGTTATCAGAAATGCTAAACTATAAGTACAGTGTGTGTTAGAGTACTATTGCGAATAGATATAGTAAATTATTTGGTAAACGTATTTGTTATTTTAATTTTTATAAATTATTTAATTTAATACAATGCGACGTGCTCAGAATCGATCAATTACAGTCGCGCGTTATTTAAGATGGCGGCGGGACCCGATTCAATTACTTCTTCGTTTCTGATGTTAATTAGAGAGTGCTATTTTAATGTAATTTTAGACATAGTGTATGTTTATTATAATTAATAAATTTATATAAGAATAATATATATTACTGACTGTAGTTTAATGCTTACTTGGCGCAATGTAACGGTAAAATATATAAAGCAAATTAATGCAATTTTTTTTATATTTACTAATATACAGTAAATGCTTGACTACGATTAAATCCTCGATTTATACGTTTTCTCTACTATCTAACAGTATAAAATACTTGTTGTAAAAATATAGAATTTTTATTTAAATAATAAAAATTCNCCGTTTTCACAGAATGCAAGAATTAGGTCCCCCGTTTCCAGACTAATTAGAGAATTTTTACGTTTAGTCAAACGAACTATTTTCAATTTGATCAATTTACTGTAACGTTTACAATCGTCCTATAATCGAACCAATTCGAATTCGAATTCGAAAATTTTTAAAATCGAAATAGAAAATCTTCCACTTTCAACCACTTTCAAGCCCATATCTCCCACACCCTTATAGCTATCGAATTCGAATTCGAAAATTTTTAAAATCGAAATAGAAAATCTTCCACTTTCAACCACTTTCAAGCCCATATCTCCCACACTATTATGACGTGCGTGTCCCTATATTTCACTTTTCCGCCAAAACTACACATCGCACGTGAATGGTGTTTGTATGTGGTGGTAGCCCCAAGTCTCCATTCGTGCACTATGGTGGTTGCGTATCGATAGCTATAAGGGTGCGGGAGATATGGGGGCTTAAAGTGGTTGAAAGTGGTTCTCTATTTCGAATGTTATGTTCATATTTCTTCGAATTACATTCGAACATAAAATTCGAATATTGGTTCGATTATAGAACGATTGTAAACGTTCCAGAAACGTTGAAAATAGTTCGTTTGACTGGACGTGAACAGGAGAAGTTCATAAATAGAATCGGGACCAAGTCTCTAATTAGTCTGGAAACGGGGGACCTATTTCTTGCATTCTGTGAAAACGGGTAAGATTGACTATAATGTAAATAATTTCAACTTTCGTTTATTGACATCTGATTTGTTAAATTTCACGGAATTGTGTTATATTTCAACTCTATTATTTATTTTCTGGAAAATAATAGATTCTAGTAAGTCTTACTAGAGTCTATTATATAGACTTATTAGTCCTCCACTGTTAAAAATAACAAACTGCTAATCGCTATATTACTTTGTATTAACAGTCGAGATGGCGTTCAATGACTTAATACGATATCTTTAACAAACGCTTCCGCAATTATTTAGCTACTAACGTCCGGTAGAGGAGCTGCTTCCTTCTATCGACTGAAGTGTTCTACAAACTTTAAGATGTATTCGTATGCATTTATAATGAGAAGTAATAATCTGACAATGTTCATCGCAATTCGTTGGAACAGGTGTGTAAAAGAGGCAAATAGTTTTATCTCTAGCTGTGTTTTTCGACTTCGTCTTCGATGTTTAGCTCAACTTTGACAGCTTTGACAACAACGTTTTATTTCTTTCTTCATTTCTTCAATAAAACAGTTTTTGTATGTCTGTTCGCATTATCATTTCTCCCAGATGTTTTGCGAGACAATTATCACGGAAAGTGTATAAAATATACTTTTTTATGCTTAAATGTATCACAAAAAACTTCTTTTCCGTGTAAATAAAATTCGTACAATTTTAGATTGATTAATTTTCCTGCGGTTGTTTTCTCTTTTAAAACTTGAATAATTGGTTTTGATCGTACGTCCCACTGTTGTAGATTTCCTATCTGTGATCGATTCAATCTCAATTAAAATGCGACTTAAAGGGTCGGCATTTTGATGAGCATTTGCCGATTTGTGCACGAGTTCCTGAAAGAAGATCCATCTGGACAGTTTAGAGCAGTGTTTAATCGATTAAACAATGCTCTAGACCAATATATTATCACCAAAAGAACATTACGTCATGAGTTATTCGTATCATGTATTTTTAAATTATAGCTATGAGAAATTTGAAATATCTCACATTTTTGGAAAAATTCATAGATTTTTAGCTATTTCAAATATCCCGCTATTTGACACTCGAGGTTATTTAGTTTTTGTCCGACGCTAGGTGTTAATAAAATTTAATATGAGACTTCAACTTTAGCTGTATATGTTCTGTGGTCTTCGGCGTTTTCGGTAAGCTCGCAATGGTATCGGGCTCATACTCATAACTACTTTCAGTCCAGCTTGACAAAGTTCCGTGTTATTCTGTAGTTTCGTTTTATTATCGACAATGCATCTGGAGAGATTTTGCAACCGACAGCACTCAAAGTCAGATGTCTCACTTTTAAATATTTTTAAATTGTTTGATTCTCGGCTATGTTTTATTTTCTTCAAAAAGATAAATATATCTATTTTTTGTGTTTTTTTATATTAAACCAGGCAAGTGTTTGACCACGATCTCACCTACGGGGAAGCGACGATGTGGTTGAAGCTTGCTTGTTTACTTTAAGTAAAAAAAAAAAAAAATAGGTGCGTGGCCCGGCAGGAAATATTATTTCACCTTGGGACGTATTTTAAATATATTTTTTATTTATTTGTTTGCTTCGAAATTCGTTTTCACACCTAAACTAAAATTCCTATTTTTTGACAACTATTAATATTTCGGAAAACATTTCTGTTAAACACGATATAAGCATTGCTTATTAAGGCAATTTTTATATTATTAAACCATATTTAATTATTTTATTTATTGCTTGGGACTTTAATTGATTTATAACGCATTTAATTGCTATATTTTACCTTAAATTACGATATCGTTTCGGGTTGGAAAATAGTTTATTTGACTTTCGCTTATTTATAACGTAAAAATTTCTTGGAACTTCGAACGATTGGCCTGCGATAACGAATTAAATTCGAAAAATTCGACAATGAAGCACCACCACTGTATTTAATATTACATAGTTTTAATCTATTAGGAAGCTTATAATATTTTATTTTTGCATAAAATTATTTACTAATTAATTTTTATATTCAATGACAATAGCATAATGAAGAATATCGAAGAAAACCACTATAAAATGCATATAAAAATACTGTATTTTTTGATACTGCTGCTGTTTCTCCTTGTCCTCGTACAACCGTTTATATTCATCTATTTACTTCAAAACTCGAATATTCGATTGGCTTCACCCGTTACCGAAGAGGGCAATATGAAGTCTGGGAAAACTAATGAGGAGGATGCCATCATCAATGTCAACGCTATTGGTCACCGAGCGAAGAAAAGAGAAGTCTCGTATGAAACCGAAAAAGATTGCCAAGGGAATTGTTCTCTGACACCAAATTCATCTGAAATAAACGACGATACAATAAATATAAAGGGAGATTGGAATGTAAAGGTTAGCGTTTAGTTAAACCCGTGTAATTTGAAATAATTAATAAGTATAACAATGTGTTGTTTTTACTCGTTTAAATTGTCTTTCGTTTTTTGTTTATGTAGAAAGCTGATCTCTTGGAATACTGTTTCACTGCCGATGACTTTTGTCAAAGAAACAGGGAAAAATCAAAAGGTATTTCTTTTATTATATATATGTCTTATATATAGAATTTTCTGTGGAATCAAGAACAATGATATTAATTTAATATATTAACATTTATTTAAACAGACGAACAGAAAGACCATTTTGGAAGAGAAAAGCAACAACAAAATAACAGTAAGATATTTTTTTGACTCTTTTCATATTATATTCAGAATTAATATTAACGTTGTACAATTTCATAATTGTTTCTTTAATCAAATTTTGAATTTATTGTACTTTTGATAAGACACGGGTTGTTTTGCTATGACAATAATTTCTTGGGTTAAGAATAATAGAGTTTGTGTTAAGATTTTCATTCTGCGCAGTAAAAGTAGTTGTTCATCTATTGGAAAAAGTAAAAGGTTGATATTAGTTTTTCAGAAATCATTTTTTTAGACACNGTTTTTCCGGTTGAGGAGTAGGTATACAAGTCATGATGAATTTGTCCCAAGGGTCTATATAGATCGATTCTTTTCCTATTTGAGTAGTTTGTATAGCATCGTACGTCTTCTTGATCTACCGTTATTTATTTTTGATCTACCGAGTTCAAACACTTTTCTACCGATTGCGGGTTTTATTCGGTCTGCGAGAACGCGTAACCCTTTTTTATATTAACATTTTCAATTCGATAATTAACGGGACTCGGTACTTCTGTTATTCGATACGGACCAGACCATCGAAGTGCCAATTTTAGTTTTATTACCTGCAAGACGACTACTTCTTATACTTAAAACTTTTTCCTACCAGTTAATGTGGCGGTTTGTTTCGTTATCGATGTCTTTCTTGCCTCGTTTCTGCGGCGTGTTCGGCGTAGTGTCGTGCTGTATAATGAGTGTTGATCATTCGCTGTCGTAATTATTTTTCTTCGTAGTTACCATTCCTTCGATTGTCGAAGGGATGGTAACTAATTCAAATGTATATGTTGCGTGTCTTTCATAATACAGATAAAATGGATTCTCGTTAGCGAAGGCATGCAGTGCGATATTATAGGTAAATAAAGCATATGGGATCCTATCGTTTTAATAAACGTATTATCAATTTGTTTGACAACATCACTACATACTGGGTGATAAGCTGTAGATGCAGTCTTTTAATCTAAAGTAGGTCACAAACTTTTTTAATTAAATATTTTAGAGATAAAATTTCGAGGTTTAGTTGTGGAGTTGGCGTTGAATGAGTTAATATCATATTTGTAACAAACGCTTCCGCAATTATTTTGCTACTAACGTCCGGTAAAGAAACTGCTTCCGCCTATCGACTGACATGTTCTACAAACTCCAAAATGTATTTGCATGCATTTATGATGAGAAGTAAAAATCCGACAATGTTCATCGCAATTCGTTGGAATAGGTGTGTAAAAGATGCAAATATTTGTAGCTCTGCCTGTGTTTTTCGACCTCGTCGTCGATGTTTAGCACAGCTTTAATAGCTTTGACATCTTTTTATTTTTTTCTTTCATTTCCGTTGTAGGTTTCCTATCTGTGATCGATTCAATCGCAACGATTTGTCTGATGAGGATGCGACTTGAAGCGTCAGCATTTTGATGAGCGTTTGCTGGTGTAGGAAGAACGGATTAAATGTGCAAAGTCTACTGATACGGATCGAGAGTAACTTTATTTTAGTTTGAACATTTTTTACTGAAAGAAGCTAGAACATGAGAAAAAATCATTAAATCTCGGCATTGTTCCGTTGTCAAAATAAACACTCTCCAATTATAACACATCTTTATTTGTTGCCGAAATAATTTATTTTCATCTAACGCTTTCAATATATTTTATAGGTCATCTTCAGGTTGAAAAAGATTTGAAAATATTTCTGTCAAATAAAAGCTAGTTTTTTTTATTATCAGTTCTGCAGATCATTTTGTTTATAAAGGGTTTGTTTATTTGTCACATTAAAGATTTTAATGCGTAAAATAGAATTTATGAAAACTTTAGGAACATATAACTATGATATATTTCTAATGTTGTGTTATTTTGCACCTTACTTTACATTTTAAATACGAAAAGGGAGCGCTTCAAATATGATATTAAAACGGTTTTATGTCGTTACAAATAGGTATTTTTTTAACATTATCTAGTATAGTAAAATCGTGGGACCGATGAAAATTTGACGTTATATTAGGGTTGTTGTTACATTTGGTGATGTTATAATCAGGTTAACTGTATATTGTTTGTAAAAAATTAAAAAAAGAATAATTTTGGACGATACAATAGCCACACTTATTTTTTCAAAAATGGGGGAATTTTCTTTAGGCATCGATAAAACCCGAGCCAACACACAAACGCGCAACAAAATATCAGATAGCACAATGCGCTGATTGGTCTGCTGAATGACGTCAACTTACTGGAAATGTTGGTAAAAGGAACTTTATAATTTCACTATCTCTTGTGTGTATTGACATTAATGTTAAAATTATTAAAAAATTTTCAATTAAGCTAAATTACGTTACATCAAAGATTTCAATGTTAAGAGAGTTTTAAACATCAAGAAGTAACTTTTATCTGTTTTTCATTATAATAAAGCATTTTTGTACATTTTCTATAATAATAAAATAATCGAAAACAACAAATGTAAATTGCAAATTAAGATTTTATTACATTCTTTATTATATGACACAATATTTTTAACCTTACAGAAACTTGTATTTAATGGTATATGTATATTACAACAGAATATGCTAAGTGGAAATGCAGTTTAGTTAACAATTTAATATAATTTACACCTAAACATAATTCATAGTTTTTAATGCATAATTGTTAAAACATTTTAAATAATAAGTTATTTTTTCTACAAATTCTCTAATCCATTTGTTTGCTTTTCAAATCAAATCCTGTGGAACCTTAAATATAGACACCGAATATCACTTCGCTTTATATTTTCCTACGCAACACAAACAAAAATAGCTTACTACGAAAACATTACAGTACAAATGCAACATTACTTTTTCCTGGCACTTATATTGAAAAACAGTTTTCATGATGAAATGTGTGGAAATTCTTATTTAAAACATATTCAAAAGAATTTAAATACTTACAGTATTATTGACTGTTAAATAATAATTTATACAACAATTCTGTGCTTTTAATTTGAANATGAAATGTGTGGAAATTCTTATTTAAAACATATTCAAAGGAATTTAAATACTTACAGTATTATTGACTGTTAAATAATAATTTATACAACAATTCTGTGCTTTTAATTTGAAGAATGGTCATACAAATTTGATTAAACATATTTACAGTTATATTTATTATGGTACTGGATACATAAAATTTTTGTAAATTTCAAAAGTGTTGTTTCTTAACACAGAAACTAAAGCATAAAAAATTTTTTTCTGATGAGGGCCTAATCGATATTCAAAATAGGCCTATTCGTTATTCAAAATTTTTCAATAACTTTTACATTTAAAGTTTATAATTTGTTAAGCAAGATTTGTGAAAATTTCTCTTTCAGAGTTATATAAATCTTATCTAATATTATTGTTTCATCTAACTATATTAAATGCGTGTGACAAATTCAAAAAATATTCTGACTCGTCTTAATTATAAATGTCATTTTTTCTCGAACTTTTTATAAATAATATCTATAACAAATTATAAATTTTTTGTTATTCGTTATCTGTGTGCGTATATTTAAATTTAAAACACTAAGCGCACTATTAAAATGATCTATTGTGTATGATTTGGTTCAGAGGTACAGTACATACAGATCGAGTATAAAGTTAAAATTCGTTCAAAAAAATAAATAATCTTAGTAATTCATTAAGTAAAAGTAAACCGTTTTTAAATTATTCCTATAAGTTTTAAAAACATGCGAGCTAAACTTTATACTGTATTTTCACTTTATACTCGCTCAATATTACAACTAAAAAAATAATCTGTTTCCATATGATTTGGTTCTGAAGACCACAAAATATAATCGACCAGCATTTCCTATTTCGGAGGGTTGACATCATTCAGCCGACCAATCAGCGAGTTGTGCTATCTGGATATTTAGTCGCACGTAACAAGCAATGGAGAGAAATTTCGAAATTGAATAAATTAATTTCATCGAAAATGCATCGTGAGCAAGCTCCTGGTCGTCACCCACAAAGTTTGACCAATCGCGCCCAAAAGCAGCCATACTAAAAGAGATTAGAAAATGAGAACGAGACTTGCCTTGAGCGTCAAACTGATTCCGCTTATTAGTGAGTCTCCGAGACATAGTCTTGTCTTAAATACAATTTTGCCGTTTTACTTGTTTTATATGAATATTATATAAAAACATTAAAAAATAAATTACCGTTGTTATTGTAGTATTTACGCTATATATATCGTATAAATCCCGATACCCGTTGACTTCCTGGCTTGTTTCGTCTTAATTAGTTATAAATAATCGGCGATTAGCGGTGTGAAGCAGCAAATAGTTAAATGGTAAAACTTTACGAAATTTCTGTTTATTTTCACATCACTCGCAAACAATTTTAAAAAACCGACAATATTCATTAATAATTGACAAATAAAATTCGTGAATGATGAAATATTAAAGTTTTGTATTCTAACAAGCAAATAACGTTTATCGTTTCTGTTATCAGATATCATCAGTAATATCTGGTGAACGTAAAGAAAGTGTCTTGCCAATATTTAAAAATCAGTAATAAATGAAAACGGTTATTAAAAAAGAAAAAAATGTAACTTGAAAAAAGCAAAAGGAATCGATTTTATTTGTACTTATCTTCACTTTTATCAATTTCTATAATAAATTTCTCTTAGAATATGAATCAAATCAAATTTATATCTACTAGGATTTATTATATTTGTGTTTTCTTTCTGCAAAATGAGTTTTAACCAGAAAAAACAATCTTTATTGATCACCTGGCAATTCATATGTACTGTACAGTACATAATATATTTGTGTTTAAGACCTCGAGGTTTATTTTAGCATGTTTACATTGATTATGTGCTAAAACAAATTAAAATGATTACAATATTTTAAAACATTTTGACAATAATAGTGCTATATAATTT